ACTTAGAGCTGATAGGTAAAACTTTTGGTATCAGTTCTCTTGGTAATGAAGTATCAGAATTGAAATTAAATGGACTGTTGTTAGGAGTATTATCATTTAACGTTTGCTTTTATTCTACTTTTGTGAGTCTATCTCTAAACTCAACATTCTCAGATTTTAACTCCTTAATTCTGGTCTTGAGTTTAGCATTTTAAGTATCACATTTCGTTCTCTCTTTCTCAGTCATTCTTAGAGCCTTAGAAATTCTGCGCTTAAATTCAGCTCTTTTAGCATCAAACTCTGAGATCTTTCTTCTAAAGACTACATTCTCAGCTTTAAGTTCAGTGATACATTGTTTTGATAATTCAAGCTCAGATAATATGATCTACATATAACTAATACACTGCATATAAATATTCAAAATAAAAAAATTTGCGGGACAGGTCGTCTCAGAAAATTGTTAAGAAAAATTTTTTATTAATAGAAGGTTTACTAAAATAAATGATCATTATACAAGTAGGCATCATTATTATAACAAACTTATTCATTGTCTCTCTCTTTCAAGGTGACGATAAAGTTTTTTGGCATGCTTGAAGCAATAGCCTGTATAAGATAATGTAGGTTTATTGCATATTTTACATGAAGATTTTAGCATATTATTTGCATTTGATTTCCAGTAGAACAAGTATCCCGCTAAGCGAATGCAGACTCAATCATAAGTGCTTCCATCTTTTCTAATATATGCGCAGGTAAGACAATCTATTTATTATATTCTTGCACCTTTCTTATTATAAAATTTGAATTTCAAAATAAAAATCTGAATTGAACTTAGATGGAAAAAGTATATCATAAATAAAAATATATACCACATTATACTACTTCATTTCTATAAATACGTAAAAAATAGTACTTAATATTTTAACAGGCCGATGAATCGATCTAAATGGAAAGCTATTCCAGAAGTTGATTTATGAAGGTTACAGATATGCTAATAGACTTTTGAATTATTTAAAAGATATTAGGATCATATATGTCTGTAAATTTGAATTAGATCTCCTAGCTGACTTCTACTATCTAGCCTTAATTCCGCCTTTATCTGTCTTAGCAATTAGAGCAGATATTCATGAAAAATTTATTATTAGTGTGGAATCTACTATTATGAGAGGAATGAGTTTATTTACTTTAGAAAAAAATAAATGATCTTCATTTCAGAATCTAATCTAAATGAACTATTTCATTGATAACTTGACTACGTTAATAGGAATAACTTGAGAACAAAAAAAGATGAAAACTTGGAAGAACGACATGCTTATAAAATTTCTCTATCATTCAAATTTAGCTTCTTCGAAGTATAGCCTGGCATTTACTAAGACTAGTATTTTAGGGCTAGAACATATATTGGCTCTAGCGCGAGTATTTACTAAAGCGTAATTATGATATAAATAAATTGTTTATAGCCCTAGAATGGCAGTTTTATGACTAAATATTTTTTCGTTTATCACATATACCTGCAAAATTCAATTTTTTTTATTAATACATGCAAAAATAAATATAAATATTCAAGATGTAGCCCAGAATACATGATGAATTTTCTATGCTAATAACTCTGAACTTATATCACTTATTTTTTCATTTGTTTATAAAGATTTTGCCATTATATATAAAATTTATTTTGTAAAACAGAAGACTTAATAAGACAGGGAAGAATTCTTATAAGATTATTTATATGGAATTTGATTACTGCATAAACATTTGCAATTTCTTCTCCTGTTATAATTCAATAATAATATGGAATATAAAGAACTGTATAAATACAGATTATTTCTTGTTTATTCTAGTCTAACCGATATTTTATAAAATTAAGATCTTCATGAAATTCCCTTTCTATTTACTTTAAAATAACTCAAAATGCTTCAAAATTCTATTGATAATTTACAGTAAGACAGGAATAAAGTATATCTTTAATCTTGAAATTACTAAAAATTAATTCAAGCAGTTCAGAACAAACAAGTAGGCGAGGCCTAGCATTTTTTTGCATAAGAAGCATAATGTATATGCAAGAAACTAGTATAAAATTACATAGAAACTTAAAAAGTTTAAAATAAAAAATGTAATATGTATGACTCAAAAATAAAATAAAAAAGTATAAACCATTCTGACCTCTAATTAGATTATTAGCATGAATATGCAATAAATATATTAAATAATACTTTAAAGCAATCGATACAAAGATATCCTAAAGTAGTAACTACACAGGAACAGGATCTAAAAGCTAAAACATGCAAAATTTTAGTGACCCAGATATGCAGAATTATATATAAAAAAGAGAGAATAAATTTTGTGCATCTGGGTCACCAGATGATAGGTAGGAAAGAGGTCAGAAAGGCAGAAAGGTTTAGAAAATATGAGAAAAAGAGCATAAAAAGAGTATGGCCAGACTTGATTTAGCACTTTGTACCTCATCTTTAATAATCAAAAGGGTTATAAAAGGTAAGATTACGCATCTAGATCACTAATTCAGCACTTTATGCCTCATCTTTAACAATCAAAAGGGTTATGAAAGGTAGGATTGCTCATCTGGGTCACTAATTCAGAACTTCATGTTTCATCCTCGACAATCAAAATGGTCATGAACAGAATTGCAAGAATGGCACAACATCAGCACTTCATATGTGCCTAATCAGCAATCAAAAAGTGAGTGAATGGATTGCAACATATCTTCAGCAAATAGATGGATTGCAAATTCAGCACTTTATGTCTCATTTGACAATCAAGAAATAGCAATCGAAAAGGAAAATATATAGGCTGATTAATATAATGCAAATTATACCTTCAATATACATTTAAGAACCCAATCTATGCGATCTTAGCATTATTGAAAAGCTCTTAATGTTCTCATCCAAACAAGCTTAAAATTGCATAAATTTAATCACAAATTTATTGCGTCATCTAATCACAACGTGATTTTTAACAATAAATATTGGTCTAGCATCTTGGCCACAAAAAGACCGCAGAGCAATAAAAATAAGCAAATAGCTAGAAAGAAATAAAAAGAAAACAGAGTAATAAAATCAAGCAAATATCTATATAGCAATAAAAAGGCTACAGAGCAATAAAATCAAATGGATAGTAATAAAGCAATAAAAAGGTCATAGAACATTAAAAATAGTAATTAGGTAATAATTTACTCATAACTAGGTAATAGTTTACTCACAACTAGATAACATTATAGCGGAATTGGATAACACTCTTATAAGAGTGTTATTCAGTTTCAGTCATTAAAGCAAAAATATCCCTTAATAAAGAGTCAGTTGAGAAAATTGAAAAGTTTGTTTATGCTTTATTAGTTTTATGAGTAAGTATTTTTCTTATTTCTAAATATATACTTAGTTATATAATGATACTGATACAAAAATCTTTAATTCCAGAATGAGATTATTATAAATTTACGGAATATTATAATAATTTTCAAAAAAGATCAAGAAAGATGAGTGATATAAGTCCTTTATATGAAGTTAGAAGATTAAACAAGAAAAATAGTGCAAATTTCTAAAAATATTTCATTAAGTTAGCTATGTTAACATACCATATTTATATTTTATTTTCCTATATTAATAAAGTGCTTTGTAATCGATTTTTATTTTTACATTCATATTTCTTCATGTAGATTAGTGTATACTTAATAATAAATTTCAGAATAAACCACCTCAGAAAATACGTGATTTTTTATTTTTGAATATTATCATTTTAAGCATAAATATTATTACAGAATACAAGCATACAATCTGAAATAAATAGTTTCACTATTCCTATTTTTGAAATAATTTATTTTAAAGTAATTGCTGTTATGATATTTGATAATAGTATAAATTATAGATCAATTCTAGCAGATAATTTAAATGCTTTATTAATGAATGTTAATCCTAAAGGCAAATAACCATATATGTGATCAACTTATTTTAAACTAAATAATACTTAGCAATTGATGGTTTTTTTGCTAATCATTCTATATATCTTAATTAACCAAAAAGAATATGTAAAATATTAAAAAAAAGAAATTTATAATAAATAAATTAATTGAAGATTATCAATTACAGTATATAAAGGTAAAAATAAAATTATAGATAATTAAAGAAAAGATTGATTTTATTGCTTAAAAATTTTGTTTTCAGAAAAAAATTAAAAATAGAGATCACAAATGTATCTTTTTTCCAAAATATCATTGTGAGCTCAATTTTATTGAGATGTATTAAGGATTACTAAAATGTATAAAAGAAAATATTGTGATTAGGTTTACAAAAAGTTATATCTAAAGCTTTTAAATTCTATATCATTAATAACTATTCGTCAATATGCTCAAAAATCCTGGAGATATATGGGTATATATAAAAGGAATTACAGATAAGCTAGTGAAGTTTGTAGTAAAAAAATATAAGTTTCATAGAAGGTTACTCAATAATATATATAATGAGCTTAATATAGTAAAATAATATACAAATCATGTGATTTATACGATCAAGTGATAACTAAATAAAGTAATCGAATTGAGAACAAATTTTTAATTTTTATAAAGATTCAATCATAAGATAAAATTTTATAGAGGTTGCACTATAGGCTAATTTACGTAGTACAAAAATTAGTGATTGGCGCTGCGCTGGATGGGCGTAAATTAACGTTAATTAACCAAAGCATATTTTAAAATATTCAGTATAGGTTTAGTCCAATTTAAAACTTTGATAATGAATTGAATTTGGTTTCGTGTAACTGCTAAAAAATCAAATGGTATGTTTTTTTCTATCATTGAGAACTCAATTTACAATCTACATCCTCAAATGCATTTAAAAAATTTTAGAAAAAAATTAATATCTTCCTGCTTATTAATAGCAATTTTATTAACTTTATATGTGTCCTTTCCGTTTTCTTCACCATTCTTTTCTGAAATTAACTCTACGAATAGCACCCTTGGCTTCAGTCATATTTATGTCATAAATCTTGCTCATCGAACAGATAGGCGTCATAATATGGAGGCCGTTGCGAATGTACTTAGCTTGGATTTTGATTTTTTCAAAGCCATTTCCAATGATAGTGAAACTCTTAACGAGTATAAGAGTGACTTAGCGCCTTCTCACAAAGCTTGCTATGTTAGTCATTACAAAGTTTGGGAATTAATAGCCCTCCAGAAGTATGAGAGTGCTTTGATCTTAGAAGACGATGTAGACATTGAAATGAGCATTTCATCAATTGTGTCTAAAGTTCATCGTGACTTGCCTGGTAATTGGGAAATGGTATATCTTGGACATTGTTCCGACGAAGGTGATTATTTCTTTAAATTTCGCCGTATGCTCAACCCTTCTTTATATAAACTGTTCAAATCCAACAGCCCATCTTGTACACATGCCTATGCTATTTCATCTTTGGGTGTCTCCAAGTTACTAAAAGAACTTGTCGATCCAAAAGATCCGATTGATGTGGAATTGGTCTATAGAATTAAAGCGGGAAACATCACCTCATATAGTCTTGAACCATCAGCAATTGTTCAATGGAAATCTTTTGATAACCCATCAGATATTTCTCCTGGCGCCATGGATGCACCACAGCTTTTGGAAAGTTCCACCATGCATTTTCTTGGTTTAACTTAATGGCTTTTATACTACTTTTGTAATTAAGCTTGACACCTATTTATTTTTATTACCGTCACGTATTACATATTTATAATTTAGGAATAACTGTAGATAAATATAATATTTTTGCTCACATCAGGCCTCCCTCAATCAAAGATAAAAGTTAATATCAGAATCTTTGATCTTTATTATTTTAAAAAGAAATTTTAATCATTCATACATATAACATGTCATTTCGGAAAAAATTCTGTTGGAGATGTTTTAGTAATTTCCAGATCTTTTTTCGCGATAAGTTAGTTGAATAATATAATGATTTGAATGATTGAATAACAACAGATAAATAAATAAAGCAAGAGAATAAATTATTTTATATTTTCAAACGTTGTAACATATTTATTATTATTTAAGATTATATTCTTATGTGTGTGATGCAAAAAAAGTGGATTGTATATTTCGACCTCCTTATAGTTTGCACATTTTGTTAGGCCGATAATTACTCAAACTTATTCATAATCGCATCATAGATTTCGCAAAATTGTTTTCGTAGTTGGTAAGAAAAAATCTTTAGTTATTTTATTAAGATTTATAAACATCAACTTATCCAAGTAAGGTAAAATTATTTACCAGAAATTATTAATAATATATCAGTATCAAAAAATATAGATTGGTAATAGAGCTTAAAATATTATTAAAATCTTAATCTGTCATGATAATATTAGGATTTTGTTAATAATATTACTATTGAATAGCTTATTCTTTACATATTGAAATTCTTTAGATAAAAGATTGATTTCATTGTATAAGTATTATATCTTTAATCACTATTATTATTATTATTCAAATAATTAAATAATTAAGTATTTACTATAATACTTAAAAAATATCAAATTTAAAGATTTATAATTTTTATAAAAGATAATATTATAATATTAAAATTACTATTCTTACTATTTAATTATTTTAAAAGATGAATATATCAAATATGATTTTTAGATCAAATATGTTTAAATTTAATATAGAAGCTTCATAATAGAAAAAATAAAACTGCTAAGAAAAATAAAAAATAATTTAATAAAATAATCTTTAATATAAATTATATTTTAAATTTAAATATTTAAATAAAGATATAGTAATTAAATTTTAATAAAATAAATAATAAAATAATCAATTTTTTAAAATATATATTTTTGATTAAAATAAAAATACTTATTATTATTTTAATTAATCATAAATTTTAATAAAAAAAATTTAATAATATTTTATTAATTTGACTGATTTTAGAAAAAAATTTAATTATATGAAAAATATAATTTAATACTTTTCAGAAACTTGGTTTTCTTAATATGCAGTAGCTGCAAGATGACTATATAGTAAATATATAGTTACTACCTTACTTAAAAGTAGCTTAATTGCAGCCTTATAGGTATTATGCAATTACTGTATAGTAAAGAATCAAAGTTTCTGTAAAGTATATATTTATCAATTTTATTAAAAGATATTTTAAGTTTTATTAAAAAGTTTTTTAAAATAAATCAATTTAAAATTAAGTTTAAAAAATGAATTATTATAATTTTTAAAATTATTTTAAAAATCATATATTTACAAATTAATTGATACTTTATTACTAATAAAAATCTTAATAAATTATAAAAATCATTAAAATTATTCTTTATAGTAAATTTTATAATATTATATTATAATCAATATCTAAAAGTAAATTATCAAAGATTAATAATAAAATTTTAAAAATTACAAATTTTAATTTATAAATAACTTTAATTTTTATTATATAATTAAAAACTATAATATACAATATTTATTTATAAATTAATTTAAATTTTTATAAAAGTAAATCAAAAGAAAATTTATAATAAATAAATAATCAAATTTAATTATAAATCTTTATAATTTAAATAATAATTTTAAATAATAAAAAAAATTGTTTAATTT